CTGCGTGAAAATGTAAACGCGGAACAAAGAAGACTCATCGTGGGATATATTATTCGTCTTGGTGTGAGTATAACATGGCACAGTTACAGACTTTTTATACTTTCTATTAATATAATAATATAAAAACTTATTGAAAGCTATGTAAATTTCTATTTCATGCTCATAAACATACCATAAACATACAAAAATTTTCTTTATATTTATCAATAACGAAAACATGCAAAATATTTTTATTGAGTTTAATTCGAACGAAGAAATGTATTCATCGAAGTTATATCAATCTCGATCTCTGTTCTACGATTACGATAATTCTTAGGTACACTGCAACTACTCGCAGCATATCGTTTATCAGACTGTCAAGCTGTTTAATGTAGCTATTGATCGAATTTTGGTGGAAATAAGTGATATACAATTATTATGTCTGGCGTGTCTTTGGATAACTCTCAAGCGAGAAGCACCTGAGCAAAAGATACCATCGGTAATAAAACTTTTTGTTCGGAGGAAAGATTGGAGGAAAATGTTATCATAATTAGGTTTAAATAATTATAATTTTAATACAAATTTATTAAATACCTAACGGAATCGAATAATCTTTTTAGGCAACTGTAATACTGCAATTGGCAAAGGATTTATACACTAATCAGGAGAAATATTTGTTAACGTATGAGAGAAAGATTCTTACCGCTGTTAAGTTTAACACACGATTCGCTGATCCGTTCTCGTTACTTTCGTACTACATATTGAATGTAAATCGAGACAGTGGGCGTAGCATTGTTAGACCGGATGATATGGAGCGAATCTATTTTTGCGGCTCTTACATGGTAATTATAAATATAAATATACAGTGATTCAGCTTTAGTATGTAAACTGTGCACAAAAACAAATAAGCATCTTTTTTTTAGATCGATTTATCTATGCTGGATGAAAGCTTATGCGATATCCCGACGTATGTGATAGCAATAGCTGCGGTAGAGTTATCGCTTCAACTTGTATATTCGAGTGACGTTAACATGGATCAAGCATGGTACCAAGTTTGGAGAAGTAAACAGTCGCTGACAGAGTAAGAAAAAGATTAGCAAGTGGGCGCAAAACAAATGTCCCGCTTTCCGTCTTTAAACAAATGTTACATTTTTCTTAAATGACAGACATATTATTAGTCTTGCAACGAAGAAAATATAAGAATATATAATTTGTGGAATGTTCTGCAAGAAGAAATTAATTTGAAATTTCGCAAGACGGTACTAATTCACAGCTTATTTATTTTTAGATGGGAAGAACATGTGATGAATTCTACGAAGCGACTTATAATACAACATGCGCTGCAATACGATAAGTTTTCCTCGAATGTTATATATAAAAAGTTTATGCGCAGCATGTACGGTAGAGTCACCAAGTTTCTTCACGACAAACTGAATTCAGTCGTGATTAATTAGAGGTGCAGAAAGAATTTTTAAGCTTTAACTTTTTGTATTTCTCTAATAATATTGTTTAGATATATGTGATTTATTTTGTTATACCAAATACATTTATATTTAAATAGCGCTGGTCGCGTTTACGTTTTAGAGTTTATGAAAAATTTGTTTTTTTACATAAAAAAGATTTACTTTTATAAAATTTTATTGAGTTGATGCGAAAAGGAATATAATAATGTACATGTATCCTCGGAAAAATAAATTTTTTTATTGTTGAAAGTTTAAAGAAGCAAGCGTTTGATTCAATTCCACGCTCGGCATAACTCCTTAAGAAGATTGGTGGTCGTGACATTGAAATGCGTAATCTCTATCGCGGTAATATGCTATTTGTCAGTGCGTAAACATAAGCGAGGTTATCGACAGTATTTTATTTATCTAACAGTCCTCTCGGGTTATTGATATATGACTTAATAGCGATAATTTTTCAGCAACAGCAACAGAGTAGCAATATCACATGTATTATGTATTATCAAGGGCTATCAAGTAATGTTCCATTCTTGATCGTCAAGTTTTTTTCAATGACTGCCATAGTCCTGTTGAATATCTGCCCAAGCATTCCACTTGTCCCATGTGTTGTCGATGGACATAAGTTCCACCACACCATCCTAAAGATAATGCCATATAATATTTATTTTTCAAATAAACCGTAATTTGCAATCACGAATATAAAGAGCGATATGTTGCAAGGAAGATAGAAAAGTCTTGATATTTTTTATGAATCTATACAATAGCAATAAATTATTATCTTTCAGTTTTTTATCTAAAATCTTACATGATCAATTAATTTATTAATATAGTTTTATATTTTTGCTAATAAATTGTATCGCTATTAAATGGTACATACTTATGTATATACTAATATATAATATTTGACATCCTATTTGTTATACAGGTAATACAAATTCGAGTAGCCTAATTATTTTAGCTAAATAGGAAATGATGAACTGACCTTGGTTCAATTCTTCGAGGGAGTTCGGGCTCTTCCCGGCCGAGCTAACAATTATTCTCGGTGGCTCCAAACCTAAATTACAACGTTCCCAATCGTTGATGGGCGCCTGACCGCCATTCGGGCAGAGCAAGACGTAATCTTCGGGTTTGCCAGCGTCGTCCTTCTCCTTATCTAAAATACAATATGTAACGTCCATGAAGCGACACAAGTATAATTACATACGTAATTTATTTAACATAATTATATTTACCGAGCTGCTGCAAAGCTGTCAAAGGTAGGAACGCAATGTCACCCTTGCCATCCTTCAAACATCTAAAAGAAGATGCACAAATTAAAATAATAAAATCCTGCAAGCATATAATTTTTGTTGTCAAATCGGGAAGACTTAAATGCAATTAATTTTATTTTTTATTAAAATAAAAAATCCGTATTTTATTTATTTATAATACAAATTAGTCAAAGATGCGTGCACAAAAAAGATTAATGAAACGACTACGATAATACCTGAGTGCTCCTTTTCCGCCGTTGTAATATTCGGCATTCGTAGGTTTGCATTTTGTTGCTTGTTTCGCCTGATCGTCGTCGATCTTAATATTGCCGACACACAGTTCACAGGACTTTGAGTTGAGAGGTGCGCCAGGCGCACAAGACTTAGAAAAGAAGTTATCTATCTCGTTAGATTCGTTGATAAGCCCGTTAAGTTTGAGTGTGCGAATCGGGGCATAGTAACCAGCGAAGTCGCCCACGTGGCCGCTGTGACAAGACGGCTTGCCTCTGAGGTCGGCTGTGAACGAGAATATTGACATAACTTTAATATGCATATTATAGATTCTTTCAGATTTATATAAAACTACTGTCTCCGCATACTTTCTTTAATCATTCAAATCATATATTTTCCTTAAAATTTTGCCTTAATACTGATGTCTTTATTAAATTGATATTTTTGTTAACGTAAAATCTGTTTCCAGTTAAGCTTTCATACACATTTTATCCGATATAATTTTATGGAGCTTATAGACTACAGATTCTATCATTCATTTCGGCTACGTACCTAATCCATTTATGGAGGAGCCGCTTTTAATAACAGCGACTGCAGGCCGCTCGCTGACTTTCGTTGATCCTTTACCGTAGGTCTCGGCGACGATCGGTTTCGCGTTGTAATCGTTGATAGCGCGTTTTACTGATCCGCCATCGATTAATGTGATATCCGCTCCGTTGTCTCTGACAGCCTTCAAGCAAGCAGCCTCGTCTTTCTCTAGTATGCAATCAAATCTGGGTCTGGCGTCTCTATATAGATTAACATGTATAACGTCAAGATTTAATAAGTGCGCTTGCATTCTTATGATCAAAACAATTTAATTTTCAGTAAGATATAAAATTGGCCTCATTCATTTACGTTCTCGATACTTAATTAACAAAATTTGTTCAATTAATAAGGACGACTAATTAAATTTGTTTCGAAACGAGGCATCAGGTTAATTGATCGAGATTATACCTGGAGAACGCGGCTCTAGCGAAACTGCGACACTTGTTCAGCGCATATCCATCCCAAACGCACCAGCGAGCGTCTCTCTCCGGCGCCCCGGAATTTCTTTCAATCACATCCATGTATTTCGCGCTCTTCAAGTGCTCTTCCGGTGATACCGGCGGTGCAGCGACAGCCAGAGTTTTGTCGCTAAGTAGCAGGAGATCCTCCCACCAATCTGCCTTCTCGTTTTCACCAATCTGACCTAGCTGCGTCAATTCCTGAAAAACGTTCCAAAGTTAGATCGCAATCTCCCCAATGCAATGTAATATATTATAAGAAATATATTATTTTTCAACTATATCTTTCTTTAGAATTACTTCTTTAGTCTTTATAGCAATGTCCAATAAAATCAATTAACTAATTTCTGCCAATATGTAAGAAAACTAATTACTATCTTCTAAAAGTTAATTGAAATTAATTATAATAATATTATCACAAATTGTAATGTATGTTCTAAAATTTCTGTTAATGTAATATAGGAGTGCAATTTTCAGATAGTCTTATTCGCATCGTATAACATTCGATTAGTCATTAAAAACATGTATAAATAGATTCTTAGGAAACAAATCACGCACTCTTTGGATAGCTTCCGCGTTATTGCTGATAGCCCCGTTGGTCATGTATCCCTGCCACGGTCGGGCGGCCCATGTGCACGGTTTCGTTTCTGCGTCAATAGGCACTTTGCTGCCGTCCGGGCAGAAGTATCGGAAGTCAGATGGGTTTTCGGATGTCGGCACGGCCGGAGTAACTCCGACGGGCAGACCGAAGAAACGCTTCACGTAAATGACTTTCGTCCAGGCGACGTCGCCGCCGTTATGTGCCAGACAGCGTAGAGCTCCCTCGTATCCAGAATATATGTCTGGATAATCGCACACGTTTGGTTTCTCGCAAAGAGCGCACATGTTGCTGTATGTCTCCTCTGGAAAAAAAAATGAAAGTCATAGTCGTAGAGTATTCATGAAGTATCTAACTAAAAAATTAATCGCTCTCACCATGTTTCTAAATTAACATCTATAAATAATTTTTTTTAAGTAGATCTTATTTATAATATATGAGCCACGAATTCTGAATGCGTGTCAAATTTTATAAAAAGAGAAATAGATATCGATTAAAAATCGATATTTTACGACGCACGCTGTTAATACACACATTTTAATTATTTCGCCACTTGTGAAAGAGAAAAGTTAACTACCAGAAGAAATGTGTAAACGCGTTTACGCAACGCAATTATACTTTCTACTTAACGTAACTCCTTTATTCGCACCGCAGTTTGTTGAGCTCACTTTAACTCGTAAAATTTTAAATTTAACTTCATATAAATATAAAGCAGAAAATTACTTGGTGTCTCCCGAAGCGAGTTGATTTAAGTACGCGTTATTTCGCAGCTGATAATATTATTTGCCGGCAATTCACCTACATGACACAATCGCCGCAAATTTCGAAGATTACCGCCACTTACTCAGCCTCTGATTGATGGCAGGATCGGGTGACCATGTGCCCACCAGGCAGCCTTTGTCGAAGAGCGTGCTTAGAGCGCGAAGTTCATTCTCGCGAGCGGAATATTCCGGGTTGTTGATATCGGTTAGCACGCCCATCGCGGTCAGCTTCGTGATGGGAATTTTGTAGCCGACATTACGGCCCACGCCAGTGTGGCAGGACTTAAGACCCTTCAGACCCTGAACGTTGTTAATGTCCAGATCCTTGTGGATCACGGCTACTGCCTCGTAACGATATATCGCGTCGGGTTCCTCTTTTGTTCTCACCTGATAGACAAGATATAATATAAATCCTATAAATTCTTAACTAAACATTCTATTCTCAAGAGATCATAAAATATCTGTAAGGGATATCGTAAGTCAGCGGATAATAATTTAAAAAAAGCAGGCTTTTAATTAATTCAAAATAATTCAATAGTTTTTAAGAAATGTATTTTTACAATCTGTTTAAATTATGCATTTATTTAATATTTCTTCTAATTTTATACTGTAATTCTTTATTTTATAAATAATGTTTGTTAGTAAAAAGAATTGAATTAAATATTGTGTGAGTTTTCTCTCTGTATTCATAAGTTCTGTCATTTCCTTCATGTACAATTCTTTTTTTGAGTCAATTTTAAGTTCGCTTTTTTTTAACTATGCCAGATTCGTGATTAAAGATCCATTTCTTGTATTAGACTTCGAAATATCGTTGAATATATCACCTGTTCGACGATGGTGTATCCGGCCTTTTCAGCCAATTGGTTTTTCGCCGCGAGGTACATATCCTCCGGATCTACAGCAACGATGTCTGCTTCCTTTCTGCCGACTCTCTCGATGCAGTCATATCGGTCGCGTCCGGAAATGCAGGCTATCGGGAAACCTTTACTCGCCGACTCTTCCATCATCTCCCCGCATTCCTTCGCGTATATCTCCGGGATGCACATCGTAACTAAACAAAACATATCTCATGAAGCATCGTGCGAATTGATGACTCAGTACATCTCCTTTTACTTTATTAGATGCAGTTTCGGATGTACATGTCACATGCGGACAAAATTTAAATTTAGAGTTTTGCAATAATCAAGAATGTAATGATCAGTAGAGCGGTTGATTATTTATCCGATTTCTAACGGTACCAGGCCGCAGGCCGGATAGGTATAGGATTATATCCGGAGACAAGACCTTCCTCCTCCACTAGAATACGTACAAGGTGAGAACCTTGCGTGGAGGGTTCTGACCACTTGAGCAAATAAGTGTGAAAAAATGTCACAACGGCTCTTTTGAACGGTACTCAGGCTCTTGTCTTATTATGGGCTATTCGGGGTCTAGCTCATCTCTTGACCCATTACACACATTTATATTTGAAACTTCAAGATTAAACCAAACGTTTAAACTTCAAGAGATTATGAGAATTAACAAACATAACATAGTTCTTAAATCTCTGTTAATTATCCTACGATAAAAATAATTTTATTCGTTACGATTAAACGTAAATACGAAAATATAGGATGTTCGAAGATCACGCTCGATCGGTCTTCAAATTCACAAATATAATCGGAGAAGACGGCATTTTGAAATTCTTTACTTACTGCCAGATAATTTACTATATAATATTTTCGACATATTTTTGCGAATCAGTCAATTTCCATCAAGTACTTACACACTCGTGGTGGACTAGTAGCGGACACAGCCGCCACCGCGAAAATCGCAAGCACCGCGAATCTGTGTAGCATCTTGATTACAGCACCTCGCGGGGTTACGATAATGCGGTAATTTTCCCCAAAAAGATTGGCGTGATCGGGTATTGATCGGGAAGACGAGGCAGAGTGCAGAGTCCAGGTGAGGCCGCAGACAGATGGTCGGCGACGACTTGTCCAGACCGTCCGGAGCGGCGTTCTACGTACGGCCTTATATAGATGCGTCTTTTTCTTCCTCGTATTTCAGCTCGGAAAAGAAGTAGGGGGAGTAAGGAGTTTCGCTCTTTTTCCTCCTCTCTTCCTCCCAATCGCTTGGCGATCCACGCGTTGTCGCTCTTTCTCCGTTCGTTTCGCGTAATGACGCCATCGTCGTTCATTATCTATTCGATTCCTCGCCTCTCCCGCGACGATGGCACTTACCAGCTTCGTCGCGCGTCGCCTTTCGGGGAAAGACAGGTTTTCGTCTCCCGGCTTCTCGTGTTAAGAAAATTATTATTGGGCATTAAACACAGAAAGTGATTTTCTTTCTAATTTAATTTTACTTTAATTTCAACGATATCGTGGATGATTCATGTGGACTCCGCACGTTTACACGCACCCGCAAATATTGAAATAAGCTTTATTTTTATTTGTAATAAAAATATGTTGAAATGTACATTAATAGAGTTTTTAATTTAATTTTACTTTAATTTTAACGATATCGTGCATGATTCATGTAAACTCCGCACGTTTACACGCACCCGCAAATATTGAAATAAGCTTTATTTTTATTTGTAATAAAAATATGTTGGAATGTACATTAATAGAGTTTTTATAATCATAAACAATTAATAAAGCTAACAGGATTTCAACTAACATACAAAATATACATGTGAATTTCAGACGTTAAAGAAAAGATGTCACAGCATTTAAGTAACTTGTGGAGGAAAAATTATTCCGGTTTTCGATGAGAAATATCACCCTGTTCGTAAAAGTCCAAGATCTAGATAATCGTTGAAGCTTTGGTCGGGCTTGGATTGGCCGCGGTCGTTAACTCAACTCTCGGTAACTTTCCAGGATGGGTTCCTCGCCCATCCTGGAAAGTTACCATCGGCATCGTGGATGGAAAACCTTGAAGTAATTTTTCTCCATCGGTCCGGTCCCTGTTTGCCTCCTCGTTTCAAGTTTAACCCGTATCCTCGCGCGGCTTTGTTCGGCAAATTCGCATCCTTCGCGTTTCGGTCGCTCTTCGAAGATGCGACGCACGCACACACGCACGCATCAAGTTGTGATATTAATGTACATTGCACATCGCGAAGCTAAAACTGCGTGGACCTTCGTTGATACGAGGAAAGTCCCCGGACGGTAATTCCCCCCGTTATCTTCACATGCCACCTAATTTACGGTTCTCTCTTTCTATCTTTTTCTGTCAATAGATCACCAGTCAAATAAATAACAACCCATGTTTGTGCTTATATTTTATCGTTACAAAACGGCACCCGATAAGTAATCTCTGAACCGCGAGTTATAAATAATGTTAAAATGACACAGTATATTGTGATACACATAAGTAGTTACTCATAAAGAATTAATAATCTATTAAAAAATAAGTTTATCAGTACGAAAGTGTTAATTGGTTATCTGCAATATGGAATAACATTATGTAATAAATAGACTTATAGAGAGCGATTACAGTTTACTTTGATAATCATGTTATCGGGATTGCTGATGGTGTAGCAAGACTTTTTCCCCCAAAAATTGACGTGATAAGCAATAATAATGTTGGTACGAATAAGTTCAATACAATACAAATATCGGGTATTTTCTGCACAATTCAACACGTACATAAAAAAATTTATACCTTAGAAAATTGGGATAGGAAATACAATTTCTATATTTTAGTTAAAAGTTTTATTAAGAATTTTAACTATTTTTGGAAATTTTTTTAAGTAGATAAATAAATACCTTAATATTAGGAGAACTATATTATTAATTATATCATTGTTTATTTATAGAATTATTTAATGTTCCTCTATGATTTTTGTCAAACAAAATAAAGAACCGTATGTGTGTGTGTGCCTTCTTCTATTTTTACTAAGAAATATTCAAACGCAGCAATATCACTTTCCTTATTCGTTTCTTGGAACCAATAATTTTCCTTCATTGCATGTATATGGTTTTTCGCGGGATCGAGATCGAAATAATAAGTATCAATGACAAACGTAATATGAAACTATCGCCATGTATTACCATACATATTACACATGGATCTACATAAATCTGCAATTCAGCGGTTCAACTGATTAAGGATGCATCCGACATAGCCTCAGCACTCGGTATACTCTGTGTTTATACACTTCTTCATGAATGCATAAATAGAACAATTTTATTATTCAGCAGAAAAAAGGCAGTTTTCATAAATTAATGTCGAGAAAATTAAGTCGACGTCTGCTGCAGCGCTGACAGTCTCGACGCTCGCGCGAGATCTTTTTCCTCGACACATGAGTCTTATGCGGTTTTAAACTGCAAGGTCGGATACGTTCGCAACTTCAAGACCTCGAGGTGAGCGTGCAAGATTAGCAGCTGCTCATAATTGTTCTCTGCTTTCATGACAAGCCTGGTACGTCTCGCGATCGCCGCGAGTCTCATCCTTCGAGACTCCTCGTCTCTCTTGCGATGTGGGTTGTTAAGCAACCTGCGAAGCTCTTCGACGTCTGACGACTTCATCTTGATCTCTTGTGACATCTTGTCATTCTTCTTCTTCCACTTGGCCATCAGTCGCTTCGTTTCTTTCAGACGCGCCTGTTCCAGTTCCAACAATTGGTGAAATTTCTGGAAACAGAGACTGTAAGTTTTTCAAATCACCAAACAGTTGGAATAACAATAAAGCGGTACTCACATTTCGAAATGTTCGCAAATTGGCTTGCATCTTTTCGTAATCTCTTTCCAAATTTACGCTGCAGGAATAATTGCTCAAAAATTCAAGCACGTTTCTCGTGATCTAAAATTACGCAATGAACAATATAGTCCTTTGACATCAAGTAATTGTGTTGTGATATAGAACAAAATATAATAATAAATTTTATATAAGGAGAGAACTCTCCTCTTCCCATTCTTCCGGTCCTCTATACCTTGAACTCTTGGATATCTTTCAAGTTCCGCTGCAGGTCCTCCAATATCATTTTCGCGCAAGCATGCTTCCATTCGTGTTGCGACACGACCTTCCGCAAGTGCATGGATGTATACATCGCTGCCAGCTTGCGTTTCCCAGTCTCGACGATACAATCGTTGACCCGTAAAAGCTCCTCGCGCGTCACGAGAACGGCGTTCGCGTAGTCGGAGGGACAACCTTGCAGCGGCACCTCGATCTGGCCCATTTTCAAAACGAGTTGAATCTCCATTTCCTGCGTGAGCTGCGACAAGGATTTCTCCATGTCATCCAAGCTGACCTTCTTGCACGCCGCAGCGTTATCAGCCGACTGCATCGCCTTCTGATAAAACGACACCGTCTGCTCCGCCTCAGCCATCTCTACCGCGCAGCATCTCACCTTCGACATTAAGTACCGCTCTTTTTGGCAATGCTACTTCTTTTTTTTTTTTTATTATAGTCAGCTTAAAACGATCGTTATGAAAGAGAAAAAGAAAGTGGTACACCTCCGTTTCATCTCTCGAAACTTTCGGGTGTTGGTATATTTGATATTTTCGGATTAAGGATCTTTAATTACTGTTTAGACAATTTAATAATATAATTATTATTACGGGACTGTACATATTTTAATAAATCAGTTACCTCGTGAGCTTTTTTCCTTACCTTCGTTTCCACCTCGACCTTCATTCTTCTCAATCTGCACATTGTTCGCCAATAATCGGCGTTAATTTGCGATGGTAGATTTCGGGGCATCGAGTCCAAGGCATCCATGCCTTTGAGGAAATCCAGGCATTCGCGCGGTAAGACGTCCGACTTCTCGCTGCCCGCGACGCATCTCGCCACCTCCGTCAGATACGTGACCGACGTGGTAGTCAGCCGAGCAACTCTGGGTCGTTTTTTGTAGTGTCTGAGCAAGTGTTCCACTATCGGTTGCTTCAACTCTGCGAATTCGCCGCGAAACTTGGCCTCCTGGCGTTTCTCCGCTTTGCACAGGCTGTCGTATCGAACTTTTAGCTCCGACACGACCATCTCCAGCGAGTTGCACTCCTCGGCGAGCCTGCGTGCCTCTCGCGTCGCCGGCGCTAACTCCTCGTCGGCGAGACGAGCGATTTCTTGCCTGTTATCGACCATAGTTTGATGTCTTCGGATCGCTCGTATCCTTGTCAGTCTCTCCTGAAGGATTGCGCATTCAATTTGCATCTTTTTCATTTCTAGATCTTTTAATTTGTCGTTGAATGCAGCGATGTCTTTTTGCAAAGCATCTAAAACGCACATTTTACACATAAAAACGTAAGTGATCCGCAGATTATTTTAAGACGATTATTTTATTTTAATAAACGCGATTGTTTAATTTATTCTTTTAAATTTCTCGACTCTGACCTTTCGTTTCTATAATATCAGCCTGCAGGGTCGCTTTATATTTTTCTCGTTTTTTTTGCAACGCCTGCACTTTAGTTTTATACGCCGCGATAGCTGCGATATCCTCGTCAGTGTATTTCGAAGGATTCTTCGCAATTAAGCAGTCCGGCACAGATATTTCCTTCTTCACCTCATCTTCCCACCTTAAAACAGAACGTTCTTTTTAACTTTAAATATCAAGTTATTGTTAGAAAAACACAAGCCTATTTGTATCAATTATTGTGCAATTATTTTTCATATTTTCATCGACTCACTTAGGTTCTAATACACCGTCCATCATTTTTTCTACAGCTATTTTATAAAAGTCACTGATTTTTTCGTTTTTACTTTCATCTTCTCGATCCTCGTCAACTGTTTTCAATTCTCCTCGCCGTGACCGTTTTTCAAATACTTCGTGATCTTTTACCATAATTATGTAATCAGGTATTTCTTCGACGTTCCAGGATGGGATCTCGATTGGTTCCAGAACGGAATCTATCCCAAACATTGTCTTCAATTGAGACGCGCAATATCGGAGCCTGTTGATGCGCTCCTTTGCACATTTTAATACACATTCCTTTGCGCGTTTCATTTCTTCAAAGAGATCATTGAAATGCATCTATTTAGAAAAAAAATTTAATTTATATAAATTTTAAATCAGTTACATATGTCAACAATCGACTAAAAAATTAACATTTTAATATTATATAAGTTTCTGAAGTAATAATCGAGTATAATTATGTCTAATTATGTTTTTAGTATTGCGTAATGTAATTTTATTGTCAAATAGATTTATGGCAGCTGTCACCTTTAATTTACGCTCTCGATTTTCAATTATAATATCTTTCTGCAAGATAGATTCGAGATCGCTGTCATGCGGAATCAATAGCTGATGTGTTGAAGCTATGCTTTCGTCATCAATCCATTTATGCGTCGTGACACCCGATATACATAATTTTTCATCTTCATCCGCGTGTGCGTACCATCTTTTAGCCATTTGATGTGTTTTGCTTCCGGCATTGTTAGTTGAAGATTCTTTATCGGAAATTACCGTAGATCCTCGTCTTGAATCATCTTCACATGATGCCTTATACACTTCGTAACTAGAAAGATTGTTATTTTTAAGATTTGTGGTATTTTAATAATATTTTATACTTATAAACTATATTTGCTTTTGCTATTATAAATTTTTAAATACATTTTTTACGGCGTCATAAGATTATTATATAATATAAAATATAATAAGAAAGTAGAGAAATGATTATATGATTGTCATTGCTAATCAGAATACCATAAATAATTAATATAAAAAATATAAAACATAATTACCTGTACATAAATTCGTCAGCATCCGCAGAAAATTTATCCCATACTTTAAAATCGTTCATCTTTCGAGTCGATGCAACGAGAGGATAATTTTGAACAATCGCATCGCCACCAATTAATCTAAGAGCGCATGGTTTCACTTCCAACGATTCCCAGAATATTTCGCGTAGATTCGACGTCACCTGATCTCGTTGAGCGCAATCATTCTCGAGGTTTCGATACAGCTTCTCTCGTTCAAGTCGAGCCTCTTCTATTCTCCGCTGTCGGGATTCGCGATCCAAATCGAAAGCTGAGATCGGCAAACGGGCGTCCGGTGATTCGCCTTCATTTATATTGAGAAGCTCGCGTATCTATTGCAAAACTTATATCATATTTTAAACCCGAGTTAGAATCGAATCTTAAAAGAGACATTACTTGCGTTTTAATCTTCTCAAGATCGGCTACAATAGAAGCCTGTAGAGGTAGAGCTTCGTCGTGCTCAGCTTTCAGTTTAGCAGCAATTACATTCTCCAGCCAGGTTTCCTTTCCTCGATCGTACAGTTCGTTTGGATCGGAAATGAAATCCTCGATCGTTAAATGCACACTCGCAGCTTCGACTTCTGTCAAATTTGTCTTTGTCTCCGGTAAGCTGTCGTACAATTAAATTAATTTAGATTTATCTTCATAATTTTGTAAATAATTTGAATAATGCGGAAGCCTAGAGAGCAAGTAAAGACAAAGTACCGAATTCGATGGGCAACGAGATCGCCATTTCTACCGAGAGAGACGATCGTTTCCCCAAAACGCGAAGAAATCGCGTATTTTACGCCTCCTTGACTGCGATGATGTGGCATAAAAATCGCGATCACTTTGCGAAGTTCCATGCTATCTCTGACTACGATCAAGCCATCGTATCCATATGTTATGACTCGAGAATCGGTTACGTATATCCCGATCTTTCTCAGTTGATGCATGGAGGACAGCGCGTTTGTGAGGACGATATCTTGAAAATCATTCTGCGAAAGAAATTTGAACAATTAATTTTTTTCAGAAAATTTGAAAAATAGATATTAAAATAAATATGACAAGATTTTCGAAAACTCTGTCAGTGAAAAAATGTACCTTTATAATTATTTAAATTATGCAATACAAAAATGTTGACTTATTCTTTTTATGTGGTTTATTTTTATAAAACAATAATGTAGTTTGACCTGTATTTCCATTTGATGTAATTGTTTAGACAAAGCGGGTGCACTCAATATCTCCAGAGGCTTACATCCGTGATACAGAGTCTTGAAAGGTCTTGATAAGTCTATCACGCAAATGACACGCGTGCAGAAGTCGATCGAGATCTCGCAAGTGTACACGATTACTTTGTTACCTCCGATCGAAGCTATAGAAGGATTAGTCGTTGCTAGGATTAAGATCTCAAAACAATCTTTTCTTTCGTTTCTTTCGTATATCAAAAAATCAGCGATCTACAAACAAAAGAAAACATCAAATTATTTCCAATTCTGTTTTTCTACGAAGACATAATTAACTTTTGCATCTATATTTATACATAATCATTTATTTACATAAATTATAAAAGATGTTTTAAAAAATAAAATATTTTGTATAATTTTATATAATCTTACATATCCATCAATTTCTATAAATCCTAGAACATCTATGCACTGCTGTTTAAGTCGTTTGCCAATAATAAATATCATGCCAGTTTGAGAATTGCCAATTCCCAAAAGTTCGCCGTTACGCGAAAATTTTATTTTATCCAAGAAGTTTCCATAAAGATGAAAACAGTTAAAAATTTTAAGCAATGAAACTTTTGTGATATCGATTAGAATGCAATTGCCAGCAACGCTGCACGACGCAAGTATTGGTAAAGTAGGATGTGAAGCTACGTGAAGAACTATAATGAAAAGATGACTCTAATTAATAATATATCGGTTAATTCTTACAAAAAAATGTGAAATAATTATTTTATTAAATATATTAATTAACTTAATTAATTTAAAAAATGCTTTTATAACATGCTTTAAATAAAAAGTAAATGTTTAGGGTTTTTTCATATTTGACTTTACCTTCACCATGGTGCTTCAAAGATAATCTTGCTGTCAGTTTGCCGGTTAGTAACTCGAAAATGCACAGACGATCTAACCCGTCTACCGCCGCGACGTGATCTGTGCGCTGAGATATAGAAAATAATGCTTTGTATTCAATCTCGTCCGTATAAATAACTTCTATGTGAGGGATGTTGTCGTGTTGCGTGCAGATTTCAAAAATTTCTCCGCTTCTGGAGTGAAGTAAAACCCCATCTTTGCAACAATGTTGTTTTCCTACGTGTATAGAATAGAAAGTCGAGATTGACCACATAAATTTCCACGTTACGTTCCAATCCGCGGACGTCTTTTTGTAAAACTAAAACATTGTTAATTGTAATATATCAGAAAATAAAATAAAAATAACATATATGATTATTAAAAATTGTATTTTTATTAAATTGTATTAAAGACTCATTAATACGCACCATAATTTCACTATTGGTGTTCACAATTATTACACCGCTCTTATGAGTGATGACAATCGGTTTATTTTTTGGACGTTCGAGTATTTTCGATTTTATCACCGAGTACAACTTATTAGCTTCAATCGCCACGAGCCATACATTCCCGAATTCGTCCGAGATGAACAGGTTTCCTTCCGGCGTCCAGGAAGAAGACACAATTTTGTGCCCTGAAAGTGGCGCGTTCACGCGATGTATGCTTACAATTTTCGAACACGTGCGCACCTGATAGATCGAGAGTGTATTGTCGTCGGCTCCGAATTGCGATATCAAATGTGGAGGATTCGGCGAACAGCTAGTAAGACCAAATAATCCATGAAATTTTTTTAATTATAGAAAAATTGAAGGGACAAACTCTTGAAGCTTATATTAATAATTGTGAAGAATTATATTACAGAAAGGTACAGAATATACTTACGAAATTTCTTGAACAAGATTGTCTGTCTTTGTGTTAAGCATAGCGACGTGTTTGCCGGTTCTCCAGAGCCACACGATCAGTCGAAAATCGGGAAAGCTAGTCAGGCTTACGAGATACTCCGTACCAACGAAAGAACAGGATAAGTAGCCATTGATTCTGTCCGGCGGTACGCACCTGGAAATCCTTTGTAGCGTCGGATACATGAATATTGATAGTTTGGGATTCGGTTTCCTCTCGACTATGGAAAACATGGAGACTGTCTGTAAAAATTCGTATATAAATAATGAATAGCCCGTATGCAGCGTGACACTTGTCATTTTTTGGACATTTAGTAATCTGAATAAATTGTATATATTATAAATGTAATTGTGTGTATCATATGTGTACCGGATGTCCAGCTAAACACGACGCACCGTCGCCCCTTTCCTTATTGTCGAACCGCTCGATTCGTTTCTCTCTCGTATTCAGATCCAGGAAACTCACGTAAATGCCGGAAGCCGTTGCGACGGTTTCCTTCCCAACAAAGACGAAGTCATGAGATTTTCCAAACTTCATCCACCTGTACAATAACGTAAACTATATAAAAAAAAAATACTCTTCAATCACCAAGCTTTGGAGAGCTTTAATGTACCTTGTTTCGGTTGTTGAAAAATTCATTTTGCTATATTTTCTAATTTGCCAGGACATTTCGAAAACTTTTATCGTTTCACACTGTTCCTAAGTTCCCAATTCTACTTCCGTACGACAAGCAAATTTTGCACGTGTTAAGCATTGTGTTTGGTTGCTGAGAGACCTCGAAAGGCTAGCATATTGATCGAGGGTGGCCATAGAGACTTGCGTTTGACAATCCTTTCGCGTATATTCGTAATAAGCGACAAGTCTTTAACTGTATTTATATAATTAAACTAGATAATTTACAAAATTAAATAATTTATTTTGACAAAAAGAAATAAATTAATTTTCTTATTGACAATATTTATCTCTAGAAGTTTTCATTTGAATTTGTGTGGAAAAAATTTCACATTATTAACAATTAAAAATAATTAATAGAAATAGTTTTAGAATAAAGTGCGATATATAGTATAAAAGAATTCCCCGTTTTTGCACCTGTTTTGGTTGCCAAAGTGCGCAGGTACATGAATGTAAGTACTGATCGTCAAGACTTTCATCGGACACTGCATTTACATACATACCGAAGATAATAGAATCACCAAAAGAATGCCACTAAAAGTGTGCCACTGGATCAAAGTATTGTAAGAGGTTTGAAGGATAGTGACACCGTTATAAACCGCATCGTCCAGCACATAATAATGGCCCATGCCTTTGATCCCTACCATTGTCATTTTAAAGCTTTCAACAAAGTTTTTAACAAGCTTATAACAAATATTATAACAAAATAATCTATAATAATCTATAATAAATACCAGAAAAACCAGTTTTAAGTCATATTTTCATGAATCATCGGGAGTGCTCGTTAAAAATAATGTCATATATTTTTCTCTTTCTTAAAATTATTGCAAATAAGAGATACATAAAAAGAGATTTTTTATTTATTTTACTGTTAATAGTAACTGATCATGAAATCAGAACTTTATTGTTAAAATATATAAAATCAGTGTTTAAAATAGTATTGAGAAGAGTTTTAAATAATAACAACATATGAAATCATATATTTATAATTTCTACATTGCAACATAAATAACTAGAATATATCTTCTTGAATACAGAGATAGGTATTGAAACGATTTTGACATATTTTACAATGGACGGAAGCGATCGATCGATGGTTGTGCTGGAAGTATTGTTGAAGGGGCACGGTGGAATAGTAACCCAATAACGTGAATCTCGTGCCCCTTCCGAATCCGAACAGCATATATAGACGAAGCGAACGCGATGGTTTTTTATTCACGAGCGTTGATCGATATGAGTGTCATCAAGAATGTTTCGTGAGTTCGTCATTTGTTAGAACAGTTCTATATGTTTTGTGTTTGATATAAGGGTAAATAACTTGTAAGTGAACAGATTTATGGAGAAGAAAGAGAAACCAGATTCCTAGAGAGTGACTATAAGGAATTAAAAGTCCACGTTGGAAGCAGAAAATTATTTTTTAAGTGAAAATAGTCAACGTATGTATATTCATCATTCATAGTTCTTTGGCTTACTTATTTTAGCAGATATCATGAACATATTTTGGTATAAAAAAGTTGATACGTTATATAATTAATAAATAAATATTAAAAATAAAATTTTACGTACATAAATAAAAGCGATATGATCATATAATTAAAATTTTTTATAGACATTTTAATTAATTTTTATATATAAATTGTACGATATAAAAGCTTAACAACATTTTTGGCCATTTCTATCTAAAAATTAATTAATTAATCTATTTTAAATATTACTTTATCTTTGTCAATAATAATTTTTATTGATTGTAGTAATATTGTTGTACAATCGTAAACTTAAAAATTTGCTATTTTGTAACAGCTTGATTTTAAACTCATTTTATAAATGGAAACACTAATAAATTTAGATAGCAATACAAATAGTGATATAATGACAAATTATACATATAACGAGAGCCCATTGTAAAGTTGTAAACTGCAACTGTTCTATTGTTTCTCATGTTTGCGCGAATTAAGGTCATTGTTGAAATGACTACGCTAAAAAGGGGCGAAGACCGCTACGCGTTTAGTATGCGCGTCATTTGCTTGCATTTCGTATTCAAGAGGAATCTTCTGCGTTCATCTAGAAGGCATTTCGTGTCGTGTCGCTTGTTTGTACTACTTGCCCATCTCTTCCTTTTCTAATTAAAATCGATTCAAAGAATCACATTTAGAATCTCTAACAAGTCTCTAGTCTCTTCACTGTCGTGTTATCTATTAAAATATAATCATGTATAAAGAGTTGTGATAATTATCAAATTGTAATTAAATTATGTAAGATTTGATATCATATTCAAGTTTTACTCGTAAAGAACAACGAAAGTCTATTATTGCCAATTGCTCTATCAAAACGCATTGAATCATCGAGATCGGACGTTTTATTGTTATTGCTGCCATTGCTGGAAGCAGTAGCTATAAAAATCATCATTAAAGATTTTATAGTTTATGAAAATTACTTATGCGTTTTCTTATATTGCAGATCATATTTTTTCAACGAGCTTACTATCAAAATGTCTCATTACCGAGCGCGGAAGCAGCGATTCGGTTGGATTCTAAGTATCTTTCTGCTCTACCCCGCCCTGGTCTCGTCTCACGAACCTGTGCCCGCGAATTATCAGAATACACCAGGTGCATCGACCCTGAAGATAGAGGCCAAAGAATCCGAAGCGTCGATAACTCTGGGGAAGGATCTAGTCCTCGGTCCTTCTTTGTCGACCAAGGCGTCGATCATCGCCGACTCAAACGACGTCGCTTCTACAAAAGTTACTCCCCTCGCGTCTCCCACGATCATCAGTCGAGTGTCTTCCGGAGAGCATGCCGCTTCCCGAAGACCCGTCTCGAAGGATGCGGGCCCTCGCGGCTCTTACGTCGACAGCCGCAAGCCTTGGGCAGGCAAAAGCCCGAAGGCCGCTTTTGCGAAAAGGGACAGCTATCTCCAGGCACTGATGCACTCGCGTAACAGCGACGATCCGCGAGAGGGGATCGTGCAGACGGATTCAAAGACAAAGGCAAATAGGAGAGCTGAGTACGTGCAGGGTCCCATTTACAAGCCGGAAACCGAGTACGGTTCGCCCGATTCGACGTACCCGTCGAAGAGGCCGCGAATCACCTACGACGGACCCAACAGCCCTCCTTCACCCAGCGACTCTTATCCTCAACCCTTCAGGCCGTCGGATTACAACACACCGCAGAATTCTTACGGCCCGCCGCAGAATTCGTACGGACCGCCGAATGACGGTGTCTCGTTTTATCCTCAGATTTCTTCGTATGGACCACCCGGAAACTACTTACCGCCCCAACAAGGTGAGGCGAGAGGTATTATCGGCCACCAAAGTTAAAATTTTAATTATTAGGTTTATAAAAATTTAAATTGCTTGATTAACTAAGTTAATAAAAGTTTCAATTAATTGACCTAATTAAATGTGCATTCTAAGTGTACATTATTATGATAAGTCTATTATTATAATAAAATTTCATTAAACAGTTATATTACAATAGAGAGAAAAATTTAATTACATTTTTTAATCATTTTTTATTTGCTATATTAAAATAAGATTTTGTACAATCTTTTGAAATTTGCAAATGTTTATGTTATACTTTTAAAATAACTCGACAAGTTTTGCAGATGTATTGTTTGATTAATACGTTTTTAATTAATAGAATTGATTTTTCTTTGGCAATAAAATATTTTTTTCTCAGCTTGGATTTCATATTTTTAGCGCTCTTGGATCACTTGATTTATTATTTCACGCTTTGTTTTCTTAGGATATGGTCCTTCCGTTCCAACTCCAATTTATGGTGCTCCCTACGCGCTTCCGGAGACTCACATCTCCCTTCTGCCGAGTATCGATCTAGGATTGCCGCTCGCTCTCAAACTAAACGCATTCACCATCGCAAAAATTATATTAAAGTTGGTAATCTTCAAGATGATCGTGAAATTTATCGCTGTAATCTGCTTGCTGCTCTTTATACCTAAACTCGAGATCATCAAGAAGAAGGTCTCTAATAAAGACGATGACGACGAGGAACGAAATTTCTCATCGCGTAAGTTCTCAGATTAAATCCCTGCACTTCCAACTTTAATTACAAAAGTTTTGCAATAAATTTGGAATGAGGCTTTTTAAACGAAAACGTTGCTAATTAAGATTATTATTTTCTTAACTCATTCATCGTACTTCGCTAATGGTGTTCCATATTTTTCAGCCTTTGCCAGCTTGGAAACTTTAAACGGCCTCGAAGATATAGTAAAAAGCTCCGTTGAGAAGTACGAAGTGCAAAACAGCGCTCGTTTAAATTCGACGGAGAAATGCACGACACTTGCGTGCCGTATCACCGAAGCATTTACGTTCCACGAATCTCGGCGTGATTATTTAAATTTATTCAAGAGTTACGTAGAGGAAGAGAGGCAGCTCACAAAACGGAGAGACCAATGAGAAATTTACATTGTCATCGAGCTTCATCGTCGCGTCATCTCTCCCTACTCTAGTAATTATTTATTTATATACTTATCCATATTTATAAAAATTATTCCATACGAAATGCTGGATTTATTCTTTTGATTTTCAATGCTCAAAGTTAGGTCATAAAAGTACGTTTTCTTTATACAAAAGAATCTGTTAAAAAGCGCTGCGAATATAGAGCGCTGTCAAATCTGTCTCGTAATCGACGTCAATCGGAACGACGCGATTAGAGAAGATTACAGGAATAATCTTTCCTTTCACAGCACTATGATACTATGATTATTCAGTGCCACTGTGTGCCAAGTAACAAAGTATGCTAAAAAATGAAACATTATTTTAATAAATTATTTGCCTTTTTGTGGATGCATCGGCAAATATGTAATGTTTAATATGTTTTTTATTGGCGTAAGGCAGCAAATTATTTTTATAAATCTTTATAAAATAATAAGTGCATAATATAAAAATAACATTTTAATTAAAAATACAAATTGAAAAATTGGTTGTTTTTAATTTGCATGGCGACTATAATATCCAAAAATTTAGATTATCTAGGAATTTATATAAGGCATTCAACTTTATTTTATAGCTTGTAAAAACTTATTAATTATTAGTTACAAATCTGCGTTTCTTCAGCGAAAGTATCAAATATGGAAATCAGGGGTCACATGAAGTACGTCATATAAAGTGTGAGTGTGAGATGTGTCCTGTATTCTCAATCTCTCTCAGGTGGGGATAGATTTAACCATCACACTCGGTTTATAAACGTAGCCAGATGACACGATATGTCAGTTCTCTCGTGATAGCCATTCGCCATTCGTGTCAGTAACTACCGATTTTCATCGACTTTCGTCAACCGGGCCGTCACCGATCACCCAGAACAATGGAGGTAGCAGTTATAGTTGGTACGGAAACTGCATCGACTTCGTTTAAGATTTTACAGCGTCAAAATCGATTATTTTTGTAATCAACTAAGTGTATCTTTTACTAGTGGATTTAAATGTATAACTTACGCAACAATTTCGAGTTAACGTCCATTAAGTAAATACGTTCAAATAAATATTCAAAATCTCATTAACTGTTAATAGATTGACTTAGTCATTTATTTGCGCATGTTTAAAAATATTAGAAAGAGCTTAATATGATATTAAAATGTTGGAATTGGATTATTTAACATGGTATCAATATTATTTTATATCATTATTAGTTGATTGCATATCTTTGTAAAGATTTTATAAAATCTTGATTGCTTTTATATGGATATTAACAGAGACAATAAAATAAGAAATTTTTAAATTAGATGTTAACTAAGATGTTAACAATAAAATTGAGAAAATTTTTTATAGTCTTAATGTATATGCTTCTCTTGAAATCGCATTAAAATTCAGAAATGTATAGACTTCTCTTGAAATCGCATTAAAATTCAGTTTAACTCAATCTTGGTCGACAATACACCGAAAAATTATGCAAGCGCGTTTTCTATTCAATTAATTATTTATGAAGGATCAGAATCGCGACTGTTATTCGCGCGAGAGAGGATTTGAGATTTTCAAAGAAGTCTCACCGCAAAAGGAAATGTCTTTAAATGGGCGTGGGCGTAAACGGCCTTGAACGAAGAAACATCGCAATCGCCGCAAGGAGCGGACTGATCTCGATTTAAAATAAACCTTGATTTCAATAAAGCCGCAATCATTCAATAGAGACGCGCATTAAAGCCGCGCAGCGTCCCAGCGACAGGCTAAACCGTCAATGGATTTACGTAATACCATCCCGTCTACAATTCGCTAATAGAAAGACTTTCGAAAATCAAATTAATCGTTTGAAATTATATTTCGTTCGACTGTAGCGATAATCTTTTATCAGATGATATTTTATCGATATTTCTTCCCTATTATATATAGGAGATTTTGAAATAATTCATAAATTCGTCAATTGCGATTATAATTTAAACAAAATCTGTCGTGTCACTTTATGGGAGAAACGTTTGGTTAAAGATACGTGGAGAATATTGGATCAAAATCGAATGAATTTAATTTCATATCCTCTTTTTTCTCTCTCCCTCTCTTCTTGACCTTTCCTAGCCTTCGCGTTCCTCAGCATGTACACGTTATGCGAGGAAACGTATGCTCTTCCCGATGATGTAAAAATCAACAACACCATGAAGGACATAAAGGAGCCTAAAGATATCAAAGAAGCGGCGACCGCGTCGAAAGATGTGAAAGATGCCATCAAAACGGCCAAGGAAGCGAAGAAGAATAAGAAGGATTGCGCGCGAGAGTGCGGGATCGAGTATGATCCTGTTTGCGCTCACGATCCTGTCGACTCCAGCTTAAAGCCTAAGACCTTCGGCACGCAGTGCGCTCTGGATCTTTACAACTGCGAGATGGGCATGAGTAAGCACATGAAAGCAGTATATAAATCACTATACTAATTATTTATATTAATGTAATGATATATTAATTATTGATTACAATAATCACATTAATCACGTTATACTTCAATTTCAGAATTGGCTGTCAAGAGCAAAGGCGAGTGCCCTGGATCTGGCGGAGTAAGACTGTCCTAAACAATCACTCGATTCCGGAAAAGCACCATGAAACACGAAGTAGACTAACCATTAGATGATTATTATAAATTTATAGTTGGGAGTTAAATACCTTAATGTATCGTGATGTAACGAGATTTTCTTCTTCTAACGACGAGAGAATAGAGATGGTGGTACGCAAGAAAACTAAATATAACTACGCGACAAAATCTGACGATAAAATTGGCCGCTAAGCTGTACGCTATGTACAATGAATATACAATGTAAGGCGTATCTATCCAATAAATATTAATGATGAGCAACTATTGATTTTGCCTCTCATAATCACTTCCTTCCCCGCGACGTAGTTGATTTTCGTGCGTAGTACGCAGTTTCTAACTTATGTAAGTTGTATATATGTGCAGAGATTGAATATGTATTCTCGGTACGCAAATTTGAACCGGCTTTCTAATCGCATCTGCGATCTGTCCTCATACAAACATGTAATTGGCAAAATATATTCTCAACTCTGAGGTACTTAAACAGTAGATGATATCCATTTTGCCGCTTTTATCATGCAGTCACGAAAGCGTAACATTATGAGCATTTCAATTTTGAGATATACCGTTAACAAAAAGATTTTCTATTCGATAAATTAAAGATAAACGAAACTTTCAGTTATTGTTCGTATTTATTATTTTGCTGGAAGTAAGGATACGCTATTATACAATCCCTATTTTATTTCTTCTTAAGTCATAATGTACGCATGTGTTACTGTTGTATTGCATAATATGCTTCCGCCGCTTTCTCGGAGCTGCAGCGTGACGAATGACGCCGACGAATGATGTCGACACACTCCAGACAAGCTATCGTTACCGATTGACAAATAAATGTTAAAGCTTTATAACTATTCTTCTAGATGGCTAAATGCATGTTACAATTTGTAAACGGGAAGGAGATTGAATTATCCTTTCTATTGTACTTGTTTTTGTTAATAGTTATCATTTTTATTAAATTATTTAATTATATCTACATAAAATAAATACAGCAACATTATCTCAGTAGAAATTAACTGTATTATACGATAATAAACGCACGATTTCTTTGTAAAATAATTTGATGCCGATTAATTATTTCTCAGAAATCTTATACGTGGCTTTAGTAAATTCTATAAACACCCAGACATTGATTTATTATTGCGTGTATACGTCGCAACGTGCTTGAAAGGCTGTAATCTGTGCGCGTGGGGCCATTGTCCGTCAATCTTCGTTGTAATAAGTTTACCTTCCAAATCAATGTCCAAGATAATGAGGATGCGACCGTGTGCAATGAAGGAGGACGGCCGGCTGCGAACCGCATCCTCAGTCCGGCGCACTTTGTCCCGTCTATCAATGTGCCGTCTCGTCCGAACTGTCCGCGACATGACTGATTTATTCTCAAAGATTTACTGTGCAATTGTTTTCCTTTTGTTATGCGAGACGAACACGTACTCCCTCGTCTCGCACATCTGCACCGCGAGTACGCGGACTTCTGCAGGTAATTGAACGAATTAAATGATCGTCGGTGATTAAGTCTAGCAGCATAAATTAATGGCAGAAGAATGCAAAAGGCGATTTAATTAAACCTTTATTAATAATTATACGCGAAACTAAAATATTAAGTGAAGATTATAAGATATTTGTTTGTCTAAAGTTCCGAGAACTTCGTAATCTCCAAAAATTCTAGAGTAGAGAAGATACGTTGCGAAAGGTAGATCCTAGCGCGCATATGAAAAAGAGCCAAAGCAAAATTTTCGAAACTACTGTAACTTTCTCTGTACTATCTTTCGTATGTGTTTCGGATATGATTTAAAAAACGCGATTGCGAAACTTGAGATGAGACATTTTGTACGAGCGTAGATATGGAATATTCATCGACGCCCGCGGACGGATCAATGTCGATCTTCGAGGAGATGGAGAACCGACTGTCGAGCCTCGAACGCAGATTGCGAGCGGTCGAGCATCCCGGTAAGAATTTCACGATTCGCACACGATGGAAATATGAAAACATCTATCCATGCTCTTGCAGTTTGGCAGATCAGCTTGAGAGAGGAGGACTGGGAGGTTTGTGCCGAGGGACCGTGTAAGTGCGTACCGGAAATGAAATCGGTGTCCTGCTGGAGATACAATCTGATGGATCTACCCCCGACGCAATTGGTTCCCGCCAACGTGCTGAGACTGTGAGCAATTTGAAAGATAACATCGTTGTGTTTGTGTGACAGATATCCGATCGGATATCTTTAAGAAAAATAATCGAAATTATTATTAAACGCTAAAAGCGCGATAGAATTACTTTATATAATTTATAAATAAAATTAGAACTTTGTATAATGTGTACATTTTAATTTTTAAATAAAATTTCTTATTTTGTATTGCCACGTTAGAAAATAATTATTCTATTTTTTAAATTGTGACTTTTTGTATAATAAAACATTTAGTAATTTTGCTTTTTTTATTAAAAAAATGTATATTTATATTTGGTCTTAGAGAATAGAAATATCATTTGTATTTCCAGAGATCTCGGGAGTAATCGACTCAGCGCTCTGCACAGAGATACGTTTATGAATATGACGCAGTTGCACCATCTGTAAGTCATGTAACAATCGAGAGATGCATGTACTAATGAAACTGTCAATTACAGAGATCTGAGCAGCAATTTAATCGAGCATTTGGCGCCCAGGTTGTTCTTGTCATTACACAGTATCGCAAATGTCAGGTTGAGTAACAATCTCTTGAAGGAAATGCAACGTAGTCAATTTTTTGGACTAAGGAATCTTCGAATACTGTAAGTGAGATGCTTACAACTAGTAACAAATTAAAAAAGAAATATAAAAATTGATTTTATTAGGCATACTAACACCTTCATAGATCTTTTACGTAACTGAATCAATTTTTTAAATATCAAGTTGCTTTATTTAGTTGTTTTGACAAATTAAATGTACAAGAGAAATGTTTGAACGTTTAAATAATATATTAAAATTTATTATATTTAGCCCATCTTGCTAAGAAAAAAAGATTTACTAAATGTACATTGCTGAGATATGTTATATTTGTTTCAATTTGAAATTTAATGTTTCTCCGGTTTTTCGTCTCCTTATAAGTTAAAAATTTAATCCATTAAAAATTTAATACACATTTTTTTATTTTATTTAGCGATTTATCGTCAAATAAACTCCGTACTTTGCCGGAAGATCTTTTCTTGAGCAACGGCCACTTGGCTTTATTGGATCTCTCCTCCAATCGCATTTCGTTATTACCTCCCGGTGCATTTCGTGGTCTCGGGAATCTTGATGAATTGCTGCTGGGTAAAAATCGACTAGTCGGATTACCCGTTTCAATTTTCCGGGATATTACTAAACTTAGACGCCTTGCGCTCGAGGAAAATCGTTTGAAAGAGCTGCCTAACGGTGTATTCCAAGATCTGACGTCTCTCAAAGAGTTGAATATGCGGAACAATCGCTTGATGGAGCTGCCTAAAGGATTGTTTTTGACCCTGGCACAATTGGAAATTCTGGAAATATCGAGCAATAGAATATCTCGTGTAAATATCGTGTATATTTTGTAATTTTAATTATAATTTTATTTTTGAAAGTTAGAACTCTCTAAATCTGAATCAGTGAAAAGTCACTGAAATGGCATACTTTACACTGATATCAGTGAAATGTGAATAGTCATTGAATGCATCAGTGACTATTATAGAGAGAACGCTAATATATAAATGTATTATATAAGATACGTTTTGTATAAAAAATATTTATAATATATTATTATGGAATATATATTATAAGCTTTTAGATTTCTCTTCAAGTATAAACAATTTGGATCTTTGTGATAGATTGATGCAAGAGCCTTTCACGATATGATAGCACTTCGAGAACTTCGATTAGGACACAATCACATAAAATACTTGCCACCTGGATTATTCAACAATTCTATATCTTTGGAACGTCTTATTCTCTATGGCAATCGCATAGAAATCCTAGTAAGAGGCGTTTTTCGCGGCTTGTTCAATCTCACTTCTCTTTTCCTGCAATCCAATCGACTGAGGATACTACAATCAGGAGTTTTTGAGGACACGCCGAACTTACGGAAGCTGTGAGTCGATACTTTTGTACAATTTTTTACAATTGTAACATTACTGATTTTAATAACGGCAAATGTCCATTGAAATATGTATGTAGAATTGCAATTTATATATTTGCTTTATAAGTCTTTACTGTGATTTTTAAATTAGAAATATATTTATACTTGTTAAATAAAAAATAATATTTTTCCCTGTTCTCTGTTACGCTGTATCATGATCTTCAGGCAACTGGAATCGAATGACCTCTCCTTCTTGCCAGCTGGTAGTATGGACGCCGTATCCACGATTCAGCAAGTACGTCTGAGTCAAAATCCCTGGCATTGTGATTGCCGTGCCTCTTACGTTGCTTCTTGGCTGCGCAAAAGATTCGCCAGCTTCGCGAATTTGACCAATCCGGTGCAGATACAGCGGGTTTTAATCATGACAGGCAATTGGAGCATCTGGGAATTTGGGGCTGGTGCAATATGCAGGGGTCCAGGTATACTAGGCGGCCAGTCGCTGCTACGTCTGACCTTTCACGAACTTTGCGAGGGTCAGTGGGCCTCCATGAAGGGTATCATACCACGATTACCCCTCGATGTTATAGCACCGTCCGTCACGCCGCAAGCAGCTAGGAAGGACACGATTTTTGTATGGATCATATTCGATTAAATAGAATATTTGTAATGGCTTTATTGTTTAATGGCTTAATAAGCCATGATAGAGAGAAGTCCACGTAAACATATAAAAAGTTAAATTTAGTGCAATAGAATAATAAAAATAAAGAAAACAATAAAAATAATTTCTATTTCTTCTCTAATTATCATCTCTTATTTTTTGCTTATATTGTTACAGGTGTAAAAGACGTGGAGACTCAGCTTTCTAAATTTTCTGCAGAGAATGGAATATTGCGCAATGCACAGGACATTTGATGATGATTAGCGTGTCTTTTAAAATTTCGAAACGATTACATTAAACTTGTAATTATTAAATAAAATGATAGCACGATAAACTATTTACATATAAAAAAGTGCAATTTATTATATTTTATTATATTGAATAAAGAAGATTGAGATTAATATATTAATCATCTTTTTTTTTAAATTATTTATTATAAGTTCTATTCAGATCGACAATGAAATGTAACTTTATAAGTTTATTTTAAATATTTTGGATGCTAATAGTACGTCAAAAATTTCGCGAAAAGATAAACTGCAACTTTCAAATCCGTGACGGACGTTTAAAGATAAATTTTTGTATTTTACGGTAATTATTATGTACATAATAATTATGTACATAATAATTATGTACATAATAATTACCGTAATGCTATATAAAATATAGCATTATAATGCGGCCGCAACAATAAGAATCGCCGGAATTCACACACACACACACACACACACACACACACACACAAACGCACAGTATTTAGAACGATTCATTCTTGTTGTTAGTATTCTTGGTCGAAATGGAAGGGATCTAAGCGTACCAAATTTGTCGATTGGTCGATCATTTCAATATACTCTTCGTGATGGCTGCGTCAAATGCTAACGATATTATCGAGCTATTGGAGAAGTTTTTAAAAATTCTCAAAGAGGAACAAGTATTCGATCAATCTGGCGATCATCCTGTTGTACAATTCCTTTATCCCAAAGATTTGCAGGTAAATAGTAATCTTATATCAATAATTATTTCCTGAATGTATTAATCCGCTTTCGTTTGAACTACTCACACATCGGCTTTTCTTTGTATCTCAACATTACACTATTACGATAATGTCGTGTATTTCTACTACTTGCCAATTAAATTTTTGTCCTATAATATACTCTTCTGTTACATTATATTGTTCTATGATCTTGTAATTTAATTAAGAATTAATAATGTTACGTATTTATCGAATAAGTATAACTGCAAAATAGGTTGTTTGTTTAATTAATTTACGCAAAGTGGATGCATCATCAATAATTGATAAAGAAATTAAAGCTAATATATTAAACAATGTACAAAATGATAAAGTTGATAATAATTCAAGTATTTATATAGATTCCTTGATATCCTTTGCTTACATATGGTCTCACTATTATTAAAAGGACAATATATCGGCTTCAAACAAGCTCGATACTGTTTTGATCGTGCTTAACGGTCAAACATCGAGATAGTTGCACGCAAGTTAGAATAGGAAAATTCAATTGTTCGTATTACTGCGAGTTTATCCATGTTATATTCATGTAGAACGAGATATCATTTTCTTTGGAGAATGAGTCAGCGGCCGGTGAGAAAATTGAGGAGGTGATACGACAAATTGTACGGCATTCTGTGAGAACATCCAGTCCACATTTTCATAATGAATTTTATGCAGGCTTTGACCAGTACGGATTAGCTGGCTCTTGGTTAACGGAAGTGCTGAACACTAGCATGTAAGAAGTTCTGACTTTTTAAGACAATTAAGAAGAATATAATACTGCGAATTTAATTTGAATTTAAGAAGATGACTTTACAGTCTCAATTAATATGTATTAAAGACTTTAAAATTTCTAGGAAAAAATTTGGTTTTATAAAAAAATCATACTTCTGTTTTTTACAATTTAAAGAATAACCTGAGAATTTCTTTTAAATAAGATAACGTTTAAGTAAATTACAGATTAAATAATGGTTGATTTATAATTCTCGATTCTTTTTCTTAGGAATAATTATGAAGAGGCCCCCGTGTTTACGCTGATGGAAAAGGAGGTGATAAAAGCGTCATTGAAGCTGATGGGCTATCCACAATCACTTCGCGGCGAAGGTATAATGACGCCGGATGGCAATATATCGATGATGTATGCAATGGTACTGGCTAGGAATAATGTTCTAGATCAAAATAAAATAAAGGGAATCCAGGGAGATCCACCTTTAGTGTGTTTTACCAGTGATGCTAGCCATTATTCCGTTACGACAGCTGCTGATTGGTTGGGCTTGGGCACCAATAATGTTTACAAGGTATTTACACTATCGTTTGTCGATAGTACTTATTATATTAATTTTGCTTATTAAATAAAAAGGATCATTCAAGCTTGGCTTTGAAGATTGAATTAAATTTAACTAGATTTTTTTTAAAATTGGCAATTACATAACAGTTAAAATTAAGTTGATAATCCTTTTGTTATAGATAAAGACGGATCGGTTTGGTCGGATGCTCGTGAGTGACCTGAAAAGAGCCATAAAAAAAACGATACAACAACGGAAATTACCGTTCTTCGTGAACGCCACCGCCGGCACTCCGGTGTTCGGAGCTGTCGATCCGTTGCGGGAAATCGCCACGATATGCTGGCTCGAGTCGATATGGTTTCACGTAGATGTTCGTATGCGATATGAGAGTTATTGCTTTAGGGAAACAACTTAAACTGAATAGAAAACTGTTGCAGGCTCGCGTTAGTGGTACTCTGAGGTTCTCCAAGGGCCACCGGCATCGATTACGAGGCATTGAACGGTTCGTAGTTATTTTCGTAATTGTTACGTGTATAATTTATACTCAAATTGAATAAAGCCTGTACAATGAAATGTTGAACAATATTTACGAATTTAAAGGATATTTTTCTTTCTTTTGGTGATGTCTAAGGCATAAAATTATAATTTATTGGTAGATCAGCAGTTTACTTATTTTCTTTGTTCCGATCGATACAGTTCGAACTCGGTGACCTGGAGTCCGCACAATATGCTCGGCGCGCCGTATCAGTGTTCTTTGATCCTGACCAGAAATAGGCTCTTGATCAAGCATCATCATCACGTCCTTTTGTCCGATGCAAATAACGTTGGAGTCGAACAACATGGCATATTTTATAAAACCGATTTAGACACAGATGTTAAGAGTATACAGTGCAGCAGGAAGGTAATTGCGGGTCGTAATCTTTACATTTTTTCTTTATAGAAATATCATATCTTATCTGTAACAGTTTAAGATTACTTGTAAAAAATAAAAAGACATCCAAAGACGCTTAACAGATTTTTAAAGGATGTCTAAAAAATTAAAATTTTATTCAGTTTTTATGACATTGACTGAAATAAATGGTCATTATCTTTTCGGTTTAATATTTGATGATACCCCAAGGTCGATGCAATGAAATTTTGGTTAATGTGGAAAGCTCGCGGCACGATCGGTTTACGGCAATCGGTGGACCAAGCCATGTACTGCGCGAAATACTTCCTGAAACAGATTAAGAAAACCGTTGGCTTCCGGTCGGTGCTAGACCGTTACGATACTAACATTGTTTGCTTTTGGTACGTAATCCCATATTATCGTAAAATTCAAGATTTTATCATGATGGGTGTTCTCAGGTATATACCTCCAAGAATGCGTAATCAGGAGGAGACTCTAGCTTGGTGGAAGAGACTGTATGTTGTCACAGCCGAGATAAAGAAACGTCTGATTCTGGAGGGGTCTCTCATGATCACTTGTGCGTCGTTACCGCAGCAGAAGCTTAGTAATTTCTTTCGCATGGCCCTGAAATGCCACCCGCCACCTACGAAGTCGTCCATGGATTACATTCTCAATCAAATAGAAAGAGCCGGAGCTGACGTAGACGAAACGTTCATGACTTCTTCCGTTAATGAGCTTAACATGCAACATTAGAGATCCGTTTTTACTATATCCTTATTACTTATTCAACTGTTATATAAAAGTCCTACTACCTATGCGCGGTAAAATAAATTTGTTTTATTTTAAAAAATTAAAAATAAAGAAATTTTTTGTCATTGTTTTAAAGTGCTCTTCAAGTCATTCTACTTAAAACTGTTTAAAACATTTTTGTCTATCTTTTATCGTTTCAGAGATATTTATTCAGAAAGAGAAA